ACCTAAAAAACCCTTCATATAGTCAATGTGAGAGTAACCCTGGTCACTACAATGGATGCTGGATTAGGCCCTTTGTGTGTAAAGAGGAAAAAACATTAGTCAGCATAGGAAGAGCATTAAAGTAAAATGTATCCGCTCTTGTTAATTAAAGGAAGAAAACGAAAGATTAAACATCACTATGGGGGAATGAGAAGTCCAGCTGCATTTAGAACAGACATGGCCATCGACCAGCACTAGACACAAGCCCTGGGGGAGCACTTGGCAGGTCTGCAGCAACGTCCAAACCCGCTCTGCTGCTCACTCGAGTCCCAGCAAACAACCTTTACAAGTACTGGTACCAAAAAACTCACAACCACCACCTCTCTCTAACTGCAATCCATTCCTATTATTTAAAGCCTTTTACTGTCACTCAGTGTGGTGATAAATACCTTTTAGAAGGGTGGTCACGAGGGGTGACTCAGTACATGATGGTGATGGGAAGCACAGTGATAGCATTGCTACTGTGTTAATAATGCTACGCATTTGTGTACAGGGCAAAGGGCATCAAAATGCCCTTGTCCTGTCTTTATCATATAGCCTAATTCAGTGCTGTGAGGTTTCAACAGTATGCAAAAGGTCTCTCGACATTTTTGGTGCAGCTGGGAGGTCTGGCCAGGGTGAGCTGCTTGGCATGGCAGGGACACAGGAAAGACGTGCACACCAGCCTCCCTTTTGAATGATCTGTCAAATCTGTGTTTTGCTGCTCTGTTTACCAAGGCTGCCTCTCCTAGGGTGGCTGCTAGGGGTATTTCCACAGGTGAGGGGTTCTTGTCAGCACAACTGGCAGAGCACTATAGCAGCAAACATGCGCATCACTCATCTTTTCCTGTCAAGCAACAAAATTAACATTTTTTTCCCAAGTTAATAAAATATATACCCACACAACTGCCCATGGGCCCTTGCTGATTACTCCCCTAGCTCTCCATGGCAGTCAGGAGGAAGAGCAAATTTTTGTGTGGTATTGGTGCAGTTTTCTTCCTTTCTCCACATCTGGCTGAACCACTTGCATCATTCTTGCAAGAAACATGCCACTTCTATCTTACCCTCTTGGACAGCAAATGGCAATTCCCCTTGGCAAAAACACCCAGCAAGCTCAAAATTTGCTATTATCTCAATAGTCTAAGAAATAAGGTCCGTTTATTTAGACATCCTATGGGGAGTTAGGTACTGAACAGAGAAGGATCCACATTTGAAAGTGGGCTTAAGGGCATGTGAAGACTCCTCTCACACGTGATAGGAGGGATTAACCCCACTCCGCTGCCAGAGGGGGGTTAATTCATGGCAGAGATGGAAGCAGATGGAGAGGACCTTGGTGGCGGCTCTAACAGAGGTGACCTGCACAGACACAGGTCTAGTCCCTGCCACGGCCGGGCAAGCCCATTCCTG